AGCTGGCCAACCACCCATGGCCCCTCCCCCAGGGCTCTGGTCCCCGATTGGCCCCCTCCACCCCATTTAGGGGCAGGGCCAGCCCATCCAGCCGTCTCCTCCTGACAGGCCCAGCCCCAATCCACCCCGACTGGGGCCAGGCTGGCCAGACTCCACCAGTGCATGAATTCATACACTGGGCCTCTAGTATCTATATAAATTCTAATTCTCACCATTAAGAGTTTTGTGTGAAGAACACTCATTTCCAGAATGAACTGGTTCTTTCTCCTCTGTTAACACATTTCTCCACATAAGTGAGGAGATATCTCAATGCAGCCCCCGGGCCAAAGCTGCTGGATTTCCCAGGGAAATTCATTATTTCTGAATTACTATGTTTGGATTGTCTGACTTCCATTTAGTTAGTAGGGATTGGTGTTACAAACACCCCTCCCTGAGAGAGCAGGTGGGATTATGTGGTCTTCTCAAGGCTATGAGGACTTTGTTTAAAAACATCCCTGACCATCCCGGGGGAGTGTTTCATTTATATTTTTAACACTTAACTTCATGAAATAATTCGATTTTACACGTATTGGAAGTAAGTCGGGGGGTCAAGATTCTGTGAGTATATGAAATATTTAACCACAGAGGAACTAACCATCAGGATAGGCCCAGGATGGCAAGTGACCCACGAGAAGAGATGCCGTGCGTCACGACCAGGAGAGCGAGGGGGACCGTGTCCGTCCAGGAGAGCTGTCAGTGGAGAGAGATTCACAGGGGACGTCTCTCGAGTCATCACTTTCCAGCAGTGCTCCCCGTGCGGGAGTAACCTGGGGAGTACGTGCATACAGTAGACGCATGTCTACCTTATGAACCGGACGAGAACAACAAAACCCACAAAACTACTGGCCACAAGCCAGGACACTGGTCCCGGACTTCCCTTTTCTACTGAGTTGGCTCTGGAACTCTGAGCAAACTCTAAACTCGGGGCCTCCTTTTCTGGGTTTGCGACACGTGGTGGTGAGACAGTGCACACAGCCCGTCTGTGCAGACCTGAGAGTGGACACGCCCCCCGGTTGTGAAAGTGTGGCTTTGGGAAGTACAGAGTTACCGGAGGTGAACTCACTTCCAGGCAGGGGAGAGTCTCCTGAGTCAGAGGTGTGACTAACCTAAACCTGTGGTGTGTAAACAAAAACATGCACAAAAGCATAGAAACCTCCATCCCAGCAAACGCAATAGTCCCCAGAGCGCCTGAGACCACAAGGTGGCTGTGCCATCACTCATTCACTGCCGGCTTCCCTGCCAATTTGTTAGAACATATTTTTCTGATTAAAGCTGTGTTACGATTATATGTCAGCTGCCAACCCATTTTAAAGTCAGCTTGTAAAGTTTTCAATTCCTAGAGCACATTTTTCCCCTGTGAGGATGCATAAGACCTACAATTTGCAACCACGAGACCTATCATTTAAGATATTTACATTTATAAGACAGAAGGTATAATTCCTCATGAAAATACACCCCAGCAGGTCATTTTCTTTGAAAGGATTCCATTGGTCAGACAACATGTAACAATGTGGTTTCCGAACACTCAGGAAACGAAGTCAGTGCCAAGTCAACACGTTGAGGAACTTTAAGTCCAAACACTCAAGCATGTAAGGCAAGATATTTTTCACAAATGTGCCTGTGACTTCTCCAAATCCGGGGATAATGGTCCACCCTGAGCTACTTTGACACTAGTTCTCCAACGCAGCCTCTGGAGCCATTTTCTGTCGATCTCTCTGGCTCACTTTAAAATACAAACCAGCACCTGCCCCCATGTCACAAGGAGCTGCAACCCTCGGATCCCCAGGGAGGACATGGCATCCTGGGCTTCCCAGACTGCTCCCCTTAGACTTGTCGCCATCGCCATCAATGGTGACAAATAAACCTCACGAATGTAGGATGTTAATCACAGAAGAACCTGGATACAGGGTATACAAATCTCTGTGCTTTCTTCACAATTGCCTGTAAGTCTAAAACTACTCTATAATGGAAATTGTATTGAAAGTGTGTCACAGACACTCGTTGACTACATTATGTTTGTTTCAAAAGCACCCTTGGAGGTGACGTCACTGACACATGCAGCCTTGGCTGCCAAGGCTCAATCCCAGGGAGGGGCTTCCCGGCGTGCCCGCCTCCAACCTCCCAGGGCTGGAGCACCCACTGCTGTGCCCCAGATCACGCTCCCCCCCACCCACCTGAGGCACAGGGTGAGCCTCAGACACCTGGGCCCTAGTCGGCAGGTTGTCACTGTCGTACCTCAGACACTGGTGCCACCACCACTGCCATGGCTACTGTGTCCCGGCCCCTGGAGCCCAGCAGTTCCACCCTCCTGAGCCCAGGACTCAGGCCTGCCCCACTCTGAGGGCCTGTGTGCCGGACCCCTGCCAGGGGAGTCCTGGGGCTGGAACTTATCCTGTGGGGGAAAGCAAAGCAGGAACCCCAGCAGCCTTTGCCATTGAGGACCCCAGCCGATGGCCCTCCAGACGATAGCAATGTGCCCACCAGGACTGCACCCCACTGAGCCTGCGCCCTCACCCACAGCCGCTGGAGGGGGTAATGGTTCCCTCACCCGCACACAGGAGAAGACCTTCATTTCCAGGGTCCATGAGGACTAGAGACCAGCGGTGACCTTTGTGATGAGTCTGACCTGTTCTGATGACGGACCCTCACCCCTGTGCATCGGGAAGTCCAGCCATACCCTTCTGAGAACATCCATGCCTTTGCCCACATAAAGTCAGACACACTCCACGTGTCACACCGGGAGGGCCAGGGAGTTCATGTGGCTCCATGAGATGCAGAAATAGGATTACAGCCTGTGTGAGCCTGACGCTTACACCGTTGTCCCAGGGACCCCAGCGAGTGGTGCTGTCCTCCTGAGGGGGGGAGGGAGGGAGGGAGGGGGATGCATCTGCTTGGTGAATATTCCCTCTGAGTCGCCCGTGAACGGTGGAGAGCCCACCTTCCTGGGTGTGACAGCAGGACTTTTGGGTTCATAAGAGCTCGTTCCAGCTCTCACCAGTACAGAAACCCAGAATACAGTCTCATGTCAGCAGATGGATCACGAATGCCAAGCCCGAGGGGCAAGGGTTGAGGCCTCTGCAAAATCAAACGTAGTTTGCAGGAGCCAGCGTTCACACCATGCAGGTGAGGTGTCTGATGACATTTATCAAACCAAGTGTCTACTAACAGGCTGTTAGCAGAGTGAGACAAAGTACACATACTTCAGAGCTGTGGTTAGAAGGGAAACCCGGTGGGATTAGGGTTACATGGCTGAGCTCTCTCCCAGGGCAGCTGCCCCACAGTGTCCAAGAGCACAGCTGCCGTGTCCCCCAAACCTCTGGTGGATGAGGGCTGAGCCCCCCGCCCCTCCCAGAGCATCTGCATCCTGCATGCTGACTTCGTTACACATGCACATGCATCTCTCTCTCTCTTTCTC